AGTATTTTTATACAAATTGTTCAAAAGTTGTAGCTTTAAAATGATAATGGTTTACATGCAACAACATATTAGGCCTAATAAATTAAGTATAATATGTTAAAGGGTTATTTCCATAAAAGACCCTACATTTTGATTTTTTTTCTTTTTAGACCTAAAAGTTTTTTCTTTTCCGAAAAAGACCAAACTTTTACCTTTTACTTGTTACTTTAGACCCTAATAGGTAAATTAAGTATTTTTATTTCATAAAAGACCCAACATTTTGTACTTTTTTCCAGTTTAGACCTAAAATATAAAAAACGTGATTATATCCTTTAGTTTAAAAATATACATCGATTTAAACAATATAGTTATTATGCCTACATTTATTTATGATTGTAAAATTCTTTGTCCATGTATATTTATAAAAAAAAGACCCTATATTTTGTAGTTTTTTCCGTTTTAGACCTAAAATATTTTTTTTTTTCAAAATAAACTCAACTTTAAAATTGGTTATAATCTTCAAGACCAAATATATAAGGTACTTTTTTATTACGCCGAAAAAGAAAGTACACATGTATACACTAAAAAATATTATCTGATCTATTATCTTTTGAACGAATATAACCTAGAAGAATTGCAAAATTTTTTTTTGTCTAAAAGATATATCTTGGATATATATTATATCATTAAACTTGATATATTATTTATAAAAAATGTTATTATTACTGCTAATAAAAAGTTCGATGTTAATTTGATATTTTTTTGTAACATGGATAATACATGGCTAGGAAGAATCTTTTAGCATAATAACATTTTTTTTATTTGTAGGAAATAAACATACCAGGTAATTTAACAAAACTGTATACAAAATATTTTTTTTAGTTTGTCTATTATACTTATTTCGTGAGTTTGGACATATTTCCCTCTCTCACTTTTCTATATTATTTTTTTGGTTGAATTTTTTAATCAATTTTTTTGGAACAGTTAACAAACGAACTAACTATCATACTCCTAAACCAAAGCCATAGAATATTTTATAGCATTAGCCCGTTATTGAATAATATGGTATAACTATATCAAATACATACATAAAATATTAATCCTAAACATTCATAATAGTTTTGTTTAGATATATCAAATTCAAGTTTTGTTTAAAATTGCAAAATCTTATTTTGTATACAGTTTATTAAATTACATGGTATATTGTTTTTTCTATAAATAAAAAAGTTGTTATTATGCTAAAAGATTCATCTTAGCCATGTATGTCTATGTTACCAAAAAACATCAAATTAACATCGAACTTTTTATTAGCGGTAATAATAACATTTTTTATAAACAATATATCAAGTTTAATGATATAATATATATATATATATATATATATATATATATATATATATATATATATATCCAAGATAAAGTTTAATTATATCTTTTAGAAAAAAATAAAATTTTGTAATTCTTCTAGGTTATATTCGCTCAAAAGATAATAGATCAGATAACATTTTTTTGTGTATACATGTATACTTTCTTTTTCAGTATAGTCAAGAAGTACCTTATATTTGGTCTTGAAGATTATAACCAATTTTAAAGTTGAGTTTATTTTGAAAAAAAAAACATTTTAGGTCTAAAATGGAAAAAAGTAACAAAATATAGGGTCTTTTTTTATAAATATACGTGGAAAAAGAATTTTCCAATCATAAATAAATGTAGGCATAATAATTACATTGTTTAAATCGATGTCTATTTTTAAACTAAAAGGATATAATCATGTTTTTATACAATTAGTCTTGAAATAAAAAACATTTTAGGTCTAGATTGGAAAAAAGTATAAAATATAGGGTCTTTTATGAAATAAAAATACTTAATTTACTTGTTAGGGTCTAAAATATTTTTTTGTGTATACATGTATACTTTCTTTTTCAGTATAGTCAAGAAGTACCTTATATATTTGGTCTTGAAGATTATAACCAATTTTAAAGTTGAGTTTATTTTGAAAAAAAAACATTTTAGGTCTAAAATGGAAAAAAGTAACAAAATATAGGGTCTTTTTTTTATAAATATACGTGGAAAAAGAATTTTTCAATCATAAATAAATGTAGGCATAATAATTACATTGTTTAAATCGATGTCTATTTTTAAACTAAAAGGATATAATCATGTTTTTATACAATTAGTCTTGAAATAAAAAACATTTTAGGTCTAGATTGGAAAAAGTATAAAATATAGGGTCTTTTATGAAATAAAAATACTTAATTTACTTGTTAGGGTCTAAAATATTTTTTTGTGTATACATGTATACTTTCTTTTTCAGTATAGTCAAGAAGTACCTTATATATTTGGTCTTGAAGATTATAACCAATTTTAAAGTTGAGTTTATTTTGAAAAAAAAAACATTTTAGGTCTAAAATGGAAAAAAGTAACAAAATATAGGGTCTTTTTTTTATAAATATACGTGGAAAAAGAATTTTCCAATCATAAATAAATGTAGGCATAATAATTACAATTGTTTAATCGATGTCTATTTTTAAACTAAAAGGATATAATCATTTTTTATACAATTAGTCTTGAAATAAAAAACATTTTAGGTCTAGATTGGAAAAAAGTATAAAATATAGGGTCTTTTATGAAATAAAAATACTTAATTTACTTGTTAGGGTCTAAAATATTTTTTTGTGTATACATGTATACTTTCTTTTTCAGTATAGTCAAGAAGTACCTTATATATTTGGTCTTGAAGATTATAACCAATTTTAAAGTTGAGTTTATTTTGAAAAAAAAAACATTTTAGGTCTAAAATGGAAAAAAGTAACAAAATATAGGGTCTTTTTTTTATAAATATACGTGGAAAAAGAATTTTCCAATCATAAATAAATGTAGGCATAATAATTACATTGTTTAAATCGATGTCTATTTTTAAACTAAAAGGATATAATCATGTTTTTATACAATTAGTCTTGAAATAAAAAACATTTTAGGTCTAGATTGGAAAAAAGTATAAAATATAGGGTCTTTTATGAAATAAAAATACTTAATTTACTTGTTAGGGTCTAAAATAACAAGTCAAAGCTAAAAGTTAGGTCTTTTTCGGAAAAGAAAAAAGTTTTAGGTCTAAAAAGAAAAAAAATCAAAATATAGGGTCTTTTATGAAAATAACCCTATGTTAAAAGTTAAAAACATAACTTTATAAGTAGAAGAAAATATATTCTTTTAATATTGAAATTTAGTTTATATATGATTACACTTTAGGTTTTATATTTATTTAACCTTATTAACCAACTTATAATCATTATTAGAAAAAATTGAAAAGTAATGAGAGTTTCAAATGAATGTAATGAACGGAAAAATGATTGGGAGTTTTAAATGAATGTGATAAAAGGAAAAATGTTTCCTTTATAAATATATAATGATTTGCCGTTTCAAAAAAAAATGTAAAGTGGTTGATTAGACTGTTTTTTTTTTTTTTAAAAAATTAATACACTTGTTTCTTATTTTATTATTTAAAATGTTAATTGTGATATTAAAAAAAAAAAAACAAAAACGGTGACTCGACACACTGTACTTACCACATCCTTCCACTTACTTCCCGTTCTTGTTCTCCGACTCCTCTCCATTGCTTAACAAAATCCAAATCTTTCATCATCAACAATCTCAAATCCAACAAGCTTCTCAACTATCAGACTCCTACCATTACTAACTCCATCTTTCCTCCTTCAGTCTAATCTCCACCATTAGCAGTACAGAAATTTCCAAGTTCTTCGCGAATTACTCCCACGGTTTTTCTCAATCGTTTCAAATCGGTCAGACGATTGCATTCTGCTACCAGTGTTAGCAATGTCGTCTATCAGGCTTGTATTATCTTCATCATCGTAATTTGTAGAAAGGTTTTGCAACTTTTTGTGCTTCGTTTGTTTGAATTCTGTTTATTCTGATCTAATTGGTCCGCGTTATGTGAGTTTTATCTGGTGCGACTTTTTACTCCCAATCGCAACTTTTAATTCACGATATATTGATAAAAAGTTGTATGCAATCGAACCTCAAATTCAATATTATCACCTCAGTGTAAGAGTCATGAGCAATAGGTAGTTTTCATTTGTGAGTCATGAGCAATAGGTAGTTTTCATTTGCTTAATTTGCTCTGATTGATTCTATGTTACATATTTTCTTCCTCAACTTCATCGGGATTAGGTTAAAAAGAGGTATAAATTCCATTTTTGAACTAGTTTTTACCACATTTTTATCAACTACCTTTCAGCTTGTCTACCAAACATAGTATAATATCGTTTAAATAAAGATTATCTTTTGTTTTTTAGACCGAAGGACTCGAATCTTCTAAATACAAGTAAATGATCATTTTATCCATTATGAGACTAGAAAGTTTAATTACTTTGCATCAACAGTAGCATAACATACGATTTTATTGAATACAAAAATCTTAGCAAGTAAATGCATTTTTTTTCTTCATGATTATCCAAATTGATTTTTAGTTTTTTAACAGTTTTTTTTTTTTTTTTTTTTTGTACTTCAGAACACAAATCCCACATGCAATTGGTGCTGCATATTCTTTAAAGATGGAAAAACAAGATTCATGTGTGATGACTTATTTTGGTGATGGAGGCATCTTGCACTTTGAAAATCTTTAAGGGTTAAAATAATGGAAGAAAGAGCAACATATTTTATGATCAAATGTATTACATTTTAACTTTGTTTCAATGTATCTACCACGCATTACATCGAACTTACAAGTTACAAAATACATAAATCACATCTACAACATCCAAAATTCTCTAATTGAAACATCAAGCAAAAAATTATCAAAGTATGGAATGAAAAATAAAATCCTCACCAATCAACAAAAACATGGAACATGTTATTTCTAATTTCAAATAGCTAAAAATAATACCAAGTTCAGAATTTCGAATAATGAAACAAAAAAGATTAACAACCAACATTACTTCTAACATAACTACAACATCTTATTAAAAAGGCATCATCAGAAAGAAATAAAGACATTGATTACCTCAATTTCCTGCTGAATTCATAGCCTCAAAAACTACTGCTGCTTGCTCTTTAATCAAATCCATTCTCTGAACATAAAGCTGAAGCTCCTGCATCTTCAACTTATTCCATTTCTCCTTCAACTCCTCCCTTTTAGACCCTTCAACTAACTCCAATCCAGCTTTCATAATCTCCTCTTCCATTACAGGACTATAACTCATTCTACCATATTGAACAAACCTAGAAACATCCATGTTCTTCTCAACCTCCATGGTCAAACCTTCCTTCTCATCAACACCATTTGTTTTCTCCAAAGCAACAGCAGAGCTAGTACTAGCATTAGCATTAGCATTACCTTTAGCACCACCATTCTTTTGAGGTTGAGTCTTCTTACTCTCTGTTCCAGTGTTGGGACTGTTACTACTACCCCATATCAATTTTGATAACTCGTATCCCTTCTGTTCATGGTTCTTGGAGAAGCTTCTGTCTTTTCCATCCTTCTCTCTACTTGCGTTATTCACATACTTCTTCTTCAACCTCCTAACTTTATCCACCAACTGAGCTCTACTAACGTCAACATGCAATGACTTTTTGATGAACTCATGAAACGCACCCATATCAGCAACGGGATTCTCACCGTTTTTCTCAGTTTTGTAATCGATCATACCTTTCAGTATAACAATCTCATCATCCTCACTCCACAACCTCTGAAACAGCTGCTTCTTCGAGTCGTCATCGGTTGTCGTCGTGCTCTTCTTAGCTTTCTTAGCATCTTTCTCAATCGCCGGAGGAGGTGGTGGTCGCTTAGCCTTCGCCGGAGACGGAACTGAGCTAGCTTTCGATCCGGATTTTTTGGCTGATTTCGATTCGACGTTCGCTACGTCCTCTCGCTCCATAGGTTTCGAGGAGATAGGTTTGATGTTGGGATCAGCGACCATGGATTTTTTGGGTTGCGAATCGGAATCGGTATCAGAACCTGATTCCTCCGTTTCAGATGAAGATAGATCTGGTGGTTGTGGTTTGGTGGCGGGTTGACGAGGTGGAATTAATGGTTTCTTTGGCTCCTCTTTCTGTTTCGGTTCGGAATCTGAATCGGAGGCTTCTTCTGATCCTGAGTCGGATGTTTGTTCATCTTCTGAACCAGAGGCTTCTTCCTCCTCCTCCTCTTCTTCTTCTTCTTCGTCTGATGAAGATGGATGATTAGGTTTAAGGTCAGGTTGACGATTGTGCGCCATTATTTTGAGAGATTACTGGTTTCCAATTTAGGGTTTGTAAAGCGACAGGAGGAAGAAAAGGGGTGCCAGCTGCTCTATCGATGTGTAGTCCCTCACGCTTCTATAGTTCTATGTACGGCAAGAGGGGATACGAATTAACTTCTTATTTTGATAAAAAGAAGTTTGTTAGATGAGATACACATTCTCACCTATAGTATCATAGAAGTTTTAGGTTTTTAGGACACAAAAATATAATTTAATTTAATAAATATTTTTAAAAAAGAAAAAACATGTAACTTTTTAAAATTTGTTTTAGAAGATTTTGAAAAACTATATCTAAAAATACTACGGATTCAGGATGATAATAAACTTTTGATTTTGTTCACGTTTAGTTCTTTTTTTTACATTATATATCATCTAACTTGTTGAAGTTGTTCATATTTTATCCTTGCAATCGGCTGCCGTAGGTTATAAGGATAATTTGTATATAGTTTCAACAAGTTAGATGATATATAATGTACAACAAAAAAAGATGACCAAATGTAAACAAAATCAAAAATTCTTTTGATAACCAATATTTATGTGAGAATTTGAGAAAAAAAATTCGGCTAAGATATTTCAAAACTTACACCATGACACCACCCTTAGCCTCTGGTAGTAAACTACTAAGAGAGGGGAGGAGGGTCATTTTCTTACTTTTAGACTATGTTTATTGGTTTATTTAGTTTTGTTTAATTAGTTTTTTACTTCGAAAATAGAGAAAACTACTCGGATGGTCCATGTGGTTTCGGGTTACTTTCACGTTTGGTCTCTAACATAATTTTTTAACTCGGGACATCCAAACGATTGACATTTGTTACCCACGTGGTCCCTAACTTAACATTCCGTCCATTCCTCAGTTAGAATGCCACACGTTTCATCCATTCATTAAGACAATTCTTAGCGTCATTTAGAATGAAAAACGTCTACATGATCACAAGTTATTCGCACAGATAAGAAAACCCAAAAATCACCATCCCAACAAAAACCCTAATTGACGTTAAAACCCTACTGCGATATTGACGAACAAGCATGGCAAGTTGGAGGATACGTGCAAACATGGAAGAAACTGATGTTCATTCTAGATATGGTATGTTTTAAAACCAAGATTTTGGAATTTCTAATCTTTCAATCTTTTCACATAAAAGGTTAATGTCAATCTTCTCATTTTAAAACAGCTGGGCATCCGACTGTATTTTCCATAAGGTTACACAATGGTGGAAAACTTACTGATTTTCCAGGAAGAAAGTATATCAGGGGAAAACGACATTATGTTGACTTACTTGATATTGACACATTTTCGGTGCATGACATCGACGATATAATGGAAAAACTAGGGTATGTTGAACCCCACCTGGTGACGGAGAAGATGTATTATCATTTTCAAAGACCTTTATATGATATAATTTTGGTCTTTTTGATTTGGGTTTTGATGATGATGTTTCGCCATTTGGCTCGATATATTGGTTAACATAAGCTGATAGATGTGTACACAGAGCATGGTGAAACCAAACTGCATACATACTCAATGTGCCCCAATCCATATAAGGTGCGTATAATTGAAATTGATCAACATCCTACTTTCTCTAAACGATTGTTTTTGAATTGGCATGATACTATTGAACCCCAAGTTGAACACCAAATTGACCCCCAAGTTGAACCCCAAGTTATACTTGGGCAAGATAGTGTCACAAACCAAACCAATGAATTTGATCATGACAGTTTTACAGCTAATGTGGACATGGAAAATGTAAGTGATCATGATAGTTTTGGAGCCAATATGGACATGGAAAGTGAACATGATACCAACAATGATGATGAGTATTATCTTGTGGACAAAGATACTATGATACATGATGTAGATATTGATATGCATGATTTCCACATGAACATTAACCACAATGTTGAATGGGATGGAGGTGTAACTACAAGAAGATGAAGAACTTCAAGTGCTTGAAGATTACCTTCAACATTCTGGTCAAGGTGAAAGCATATTCCCTTCTTCTAGCAATGGTGGAAATGGAGGTCATACTTCTTCAACTCTTCCTCCTACTCCTTCTCCAGTGACTCTCCCCAAGTCATGTTTCCTTTAAGTTGAGAAATACGAAGTCACTCAAGCCCTATTGGCATGTAGACATCAAGATGGAAAGTCTGTGTGTACGCATGTTCTGAAAATGAAATCGCACATTCACAGATTGGGAATGTTGGGTGACGTTTTCCCAAGGGAGCTAGCCATTGAAATGGTTCTACTTTCGCTTCCTGAGTCATATAGTCAGTTCATTAAAGACTATTATATGAGGGACCACTACGTTACCCTAATTGATCTGACACATATGTTAATTGTTGCTGAAGCAGAAATGCTTAAGAGCAGAAATGAAACAAAAGTGTCTGAAGGATCTGTCTCCCAAATTTCCATGGACATTGACAATGGCAATGGTAGTCGAGAACAAATTTCTCTTCCCAATGGAAAGGGATCGGCCAAGGTCAAACCATTTGACCATATGGTAAAGAGAAAGGCTAGTTCTGAAATAGTTCTATGTGTTATTCTTGAAAGGTCCATATGTTTCTATTGCCAATTGAAGGGGAATTGGATGCGAAGCTGCCCAGAGTACCTAAAAGATCTTGAAGATAGTAAAGTCAAGTCATGTGACTCTATTTCAGGTACATCCACTATCTAACTCCATTATTAAGTTCCTATTCCTAGATTCTTAATACATGATGTGATAGTCACATTTTGATGTTTTTCAGGATCTAAGAGAAAGAAGGAAGCTTAAGAAGAGTAAGTTGAATATGATCGTGAGAGATGGATTTTGGAAGCTACTACTTAGGAGTTATGATAATAGATTGCTTAGGAAATATCTAGAAACATAGTTTTCATATATTTGCATTTTAAGGACAAAATTTTTCTGCTTATTATTAATAAAAGTGAAATTTTGATCTATTTACTTTATATTTCCTTGCAATGGAATTTATGAAAGTTGGTGGTTATATTTCTATTATCAGCAATGTTGAATATGGATTTGATTCTTAATTATTTCGTTTGTGGAAATGTCATAATCAACCAAGTGAATAGGAATTCTCATCACCCAAATTTCAATTGGACAGAAACTTGGAGTCATACAATTCGAATTGTGTGATGTATGAGAATCTTGATCATTAGAAGATCATGACTAATTCGTTGATCACATATTTATGTGAGTCAAGTGAAAGACTAAAGGATCTAGTACACATTGATGTGGACTATTCAGATCCGCCACAAAGGATGATAACTTTATTCATCATGATTTGCTGATGCTTTCAGTAAATATGGTTGTGTTTATAAGATTAAGCATAATTCTGAATCTTTGAAAAGTTTCAAAGAGTAGTGGAACGAATAAGAAGAATCTATTAAGCAGAAAGATAAAGGTTTCTTCAAACTGAAAGGAAAGGAGAGTACTCTAGTATTATGTTTTGTGATCATCTTAATGATTATGGAACAATGTCACAATTGATCCTCGAATAACATCTTAGTGAAATTATTTCGACTAAGAAAAGGAATCATATATTGGTGAAATGGTAACTATAAATCGTATCTTAAAGCTTATTTCGTACTAAGTAGGTTTATAACACCTCATGAAATGTGGAGTAGTAATGATTTCTTACCCTGGCACATTTAGAATTGGTAGTTGTGATGTTTTTTGGTTAAAAACAAAGGATGAACTAAGACCAATTAAATGAAGTGTTTCTTGACAAGAATCCACACTAACTTTTGAATATTTGTTTTTGCTTGTCAAGGATTGTTCCTTGAGAGAAAAACTTATATGTCAAGAAGTCAGTGGAGTCTTATTGATCTTGTTCAGGAGTCAATCAAGAATAAACCTTTTAGTTATCACTAGCTCACGACCTGAGGTTGATAACCTATTGTGTTAAGTTGACACAATCTTGTTTTTGTGCATCTTCTAGTTGAGTTGGCAATGCTTATGAGTTCTATGGTTCTCATTTGACTGCAAAAGGCAGAGCACGTTCGTCAGTGAAAGTGTATTAATCAATATGGGTGAACTGGTTAACAACTTGGAAGCATTGGTAGGCCCTTGTGCTACCAGAAGGCAAGAAATTAAGAATGAGCAAAGTTCAATCAATGAAAGGAAATCTAAAATTGATTTTGATTTTGTCCTCAACCTTATCTTATGATTGTGGGTTGGTAATGATAGATTCACATGGATGGGAACACATACACCATAAAATCTAGGTGGCAAAAGGTTTCGCTCTAATTCATGAAAATGATTATGAGGAAACACTATCGCTGGTAGATTTTAAATCTGATTAATATCATTATAGTTAGCAGTTGTGATAATTGTGTTCTCAAATTCGCATATGATTATGGCATCCCTTTTTATAGTTCGAATTGTGATAAATGGCAAGAAATAGTTTGAACGTTCAGGACTTATAGCTATAAGTTTTGAAAGGGTTTAAACACACACATATGCTATATGATAAAGGTGTATAAGCTTGAGAAGTCTGACTAAAGACTTATCGAAGCGTCACTTACCAGATATCTATACTTTAGTAAGGAAGTCAATAATGTTGATTTCTAGAAGTCCAATTGATTTCTGCGTATATGTCAAAGCTAAGGGGAGCATACTTGTTATGCAAATGGGAGCATAATGGTTGTGCTATTGGGAGCATAATTGTTATGCTAAAGTGTTGCAAGTTGGAAATACTATTCATAAGAAACAAAGTTTTCAAATTTGCAAGTTGCAAAGTTTGGAATTGTTTCACTGTGATAAGCTTAGGGGAGAGGGCACTCATACTTCATTTCAAATCTAAAAGTTTAGATTGAAGTTTTGGACATATATGAATATCGTGTTGAAATGATTCAACATAGGAAATTCAATATATGGAAATATTATAGCAAGAGGTTGATTTGATATCAGGATTTACATAAGACATTATGTATCGAATCTCATATGCTTCAGATATAAGATTGATTACATATGCTATAA